TTTTATTGTAGAGTGGGTGGGCATGAAACAATGGCAGTTCCTAGATAGTGCAATTGCAACAAATGCAAAAAAATGAACAAAAAGTGTATGCAAGAAATGCCAGCAAGCACCACTTTGACCACACTATGGACACTTCCTCATACTTTGGAACAGGAATAAGACAGACATAACTGTAAGAAATGAAATCTGTTGAAAATTCTACAATAATAACTGTAGAAAATTCTACAATAATACAATATTAGTAAGAAACCATAGAAAAATTTGAATCATGTCTACAAGGGCCCTCCAGAATCTGGATCTGCTTTTGTAGGTGCATTGTTGAGACATACTGGGCTCCTTTCTTTGAAAGCAGTATCACACACATGCTCTGTGCAAAACCTGAAGCTGCTAGCTACCAAAATTTACTAGCAAACATGGAACAGCCAAAGTATTGATAAAGATAAATTAATTTGTCAGCTGAAGTCCTAGGCTTTAAATATGCTCAAAGTATTTTTATTTTGATCAGCAATAACTAAGCTGTTTGATTACATTAGTAACTTTTTAAATCCTCCTATACAAGAACTTTCATAGCTTGAAAGTGATTTTGTACTTCCTTTAAATGTCAAACTGTGTTTTCTTAAACTGCTTAATCTGGTCTTAATAAATTTAGTTCTTTTAGTTCCTTACACAGCCTGGCAGTGCTGAAATTGGAATTAAGAATCACAGAATATTTAAGGCTAGTACTGATTTCGGGAAGTCTGCATCCCATCAGATCAGGTTGCTCAGGGTTTTATTCTGCCTGGCCTTGAAAACCCTGAAGGATGGAGATGGTACAACCTTTGCTCTCTCTCACCTGCTTTATTTTCTTCATGAGGAAAAAAAAAATAATCATTATGTCAAGTCAGAAAAGAAGTCAATTTTCTGTTAATTTCAGCAACATATTCTGTTTGACCATCTTCTCATTTCAATCTGTGGACCTGATGAAGAAATCATGTGGTGATGCTCCTTGGCCTGTGTTATGCTGGTGTTCAGATTAGAATAAGTGACATAATGCCCTGTGGCCTTAAATTTCTGCGTATTTTTCCCAGTTACTGTTACAACAGAAAAAGACTCATCATTCCATTCACTGAAAAGTGAATGAAATCCCAACAAGATATAACTACTCCCATTTTAAGGCTGGAATTAGTAGAGGAAAGAACTTAAAGCAAATTAATTTATCATATTTGGGAATCAGGATTTAAAGGAAGCACAGAAAAATAGAATTCTTCTGTGAGAATTCTTTCTAAGCTCCTTTTTTGAGGTTGCCAAAACTCATATGGTGAAAGCTGATACAGTTTAACAAAAACTGCATCTTTTCCCAGGATCTACTGCTTTCCACTCCAAATTATTTCTTCAGACTGTTTACCAAAAGCTGAGAAATATACTGCTTGAAAAGTGTTAAACAGTGAGACTAGTAGGTGCCCTAAAGAGTAACTAGTATTTACCAAAGAATTTACTCTAAAGCTAAATAAAACACAAGCACATTACAAAAACTAATTTTGGGGATGGACAGCTTCACTGTAGTGGCCGAGCAGGCACGCAGACTCTCCTCTGTTCTATTACTGCATCCCCACCCACTGAGGACTGAGACAGAACCCTGTGTGGTTACCTACAGAGCTTGTTTCCAGAGCTGTCAGCCTCTTACATGCCTTAAATCCACTTGAATAGATAAAGAAATTGGTAATAATGGAAATAATACAAAAACAGTCCTTCAAGTTTTGCTATACAAAGAAGTGGTCTTGATATTCAGCACCTGCTTTTATCACCTGCACAAAATTCTTGACAGTTCTTCTTTTTACATGCAAACAGCTCCCTGAAAGTGGAAGAGTGGTTGAGGAATGAGGCTCTTTACCAGAAATCGAATAAACCAGAAGGACAGGGGAAAGCAGAAAGGAAATACCAGACAACAGGATGAATGGTAAGAGGCCAGAGGTCATTGTGCCAGTATAAACACTGACAAGGTTAAATATAACATTTATAACAATTTATAACTCAATTGCATTTGTGGTGTGGTGTGGTTTTTTTTTTTTTTTTTTTTCCCTTTAACCGCAGAGGAAAACCACCACCACAAAATTAAGATCCCACCAAACCTGGCTATCCCTACTCTGAAATTATTTTCCTTGAAACTAGCTCCTCAGTGAAAGCTGCACTTAATTACAGTTCTTGAAATCCCTCTTTAGATAGTTTGCACGAGACATGCTAAATGAAAAAGGAGAAGTTTAATAGGATTAAGCTGAGAAAAGTGTGTTCAGGTTTCTGTGAACAGCACTTACTAATCCAACTCTGGATCTCCTCCTTAAACTTCTTTGCTAATGAGAAAGTCAGTCCAAATACCATCCATTGGACACTTTTTTTTTTTTTTTCCAGAACTATTATCTTTAGACTAGAAAGATTCAAAGCAATGAAGCAATCTCTAATTTACAGGCACTCAACACTTTAAAATTGTTGTCCTATTAGTAAGGTCATACAAACTGTTTTGTTTGCTGAGTATATCATATTTCAAGATTTATTTCAGCTGCTGTGAAGAATGAACAATTGTCATATTCATCACCATTAATTTATATGAATGAAAATAGAGAATTTAATTAGTACTATGACTATGGTGCATAGGCTAACCAAAAGGCTGTTGCAGAACAGGTAGGAACAAACAGTATCTAACACAGCAACAAAGGTTCCCTCTCTGATCACTTGTGAAATGCAGAACAGGTAACAATACACATGCTCACTGACTGCATTTCATTCAACAGCTTTATAAGCAGTATAGGTTAACAGGTAGTATCACATCCAAATATGGCACTGATACGAAAATCAATCAAAAAGATTCTTTTGAAAGGCAACTTACCCCAGGAACAGATCCAAACTTCTCTTTGAATGTTTTGAGTCCCTAAGTAGAGACTTGCTCACATAAGAGACACCCAGAACACCAAATTCAACATAGCATATATCTGTCCCTGAATTGAAAGATCTAAAGATCTCCCAAGCAATTTTATCAACAGTTTCATATAAAAATTGATACATCAAAAATATAATGAGAAGTATGCAGGGGGCCAGCATGGTATCTGCAACAAAGGATGAAGAGGAAGCAAGAAAGAAACAGGGGTACAAGTGCTGCTGTAATAATGCTCTAAAGGTATTTATAAAATCTCTTTAAGGGATTGTCCAATCATCTCAGTCTGTAATATCAATATGGCACAGTCCAATGCAAGTAGACTTGTCCCTTTCCTTTGGAAATCAATTCAGAGTGAGACAAAGATTTTTATGAACATTGGGCTTCCCTGTTTTGACTTTTATCAGATTCTAGCCCTGTTTTAGAGACCAGATGTCTTTCCCCTTCTTCAGTTGCTTCATGTTTGATTTAATTGACAACAGCAGAAGCTTCTGGGAGAAGTAGACTGAGAGTAATTACTGATCTTATTCTTAGCTTACAATAGGTAAACCATCAGGACAAAAGTTCCTTCAGAAGTGTTTTACAGCAAATATCATGGTGGAGCATCTAGGGCTGAATGCTTGTGTGTTAGAGATTATTAGCTGGTTCAGTAAAACCCATCAGCATACCAGTTGTGCTACTTGCTCCCCATATCTGCTGACAGACAACACTTTCTACATACACAAACAACACAAAAACAGAACAATATTGGAATACTCCAAGGCAGAAACTTGGTATAACAAAAGCCTGCAGAAATACCAGTGGAAGCAAAATCACCTATTTCTCTGCACCTTCAAACAATCTTCAACTCTAAAAATCATTGACCCTGAAGAAACAGAAAGCAACCAATGCTTGAGAAATCAAACCCATTTTTCACTATGCAAAATATATGATATTGCTTCTTCTGATATCATCCTTCTTCTTGCCGTGTTGTCAAAGTTCAGACTAAAAATGTAATTAATACATCCTTTCTACCTATTAGAGTAGAACAGAAAAGTGATAGAAACTATGAAACAAACCACAGGTTTGTCCAAACAGCCATCAAGTCCAAGTGCAAGGTATTTCAAAGGTCTGGAAACACTGATAGACTCAGTCTCTTGATGCATGATCTACCACTTAGTTACAGGTCCTACCTGCCTATGAACTCCAAAATATTGGGCTGAACTTATCTAAACGTATGGCACTCTCTGTTTGTTACTCATCTGGGCCAACCAATATACAACAAATTACGTTTCTTACAGAAAGCGCCCAGCTTTTCCATTTGAAAGCAGTAAATCAGGATCCATTACTTAAAACTGCTAAAAATCATGCAAGTATATTTCTAAAGCATAACTTGTTTGTTGTTGCATGCAGCCACAGCTGCATTGTATAGTGTAGACATCATAAATATTTATTTATGCTGTCTACGCAATGCACTCTTCCACTTTCAGCAAGGATACTTCAACCTGCTTGTGCCACTCTTCAGAGAGAATATTATAAAAGGAAATTTGTGAAGCTGTTAACAGCTCTCTCTTCCAGGCTGTCTGCTTAAATAATAACAATGCTTATTAGTTATATGTAGTACTGAAAACAATACTTTGGAGAATAATTCACTTGACAACTTGTGTTTTGGATGAGAAATCAAGAGAGGGTGGGAGGGCTAAGTTCACTGCATTCTTGATTCTCCACTGTCTTGTACATACATGTACACACTATGAGAGCAGTGACTAGTTTTGCTTTCCATCCATTCTGTATCTGTCTAAGTAGCTGGACAAAGTGCAAAGCCATACAAATCTGATTAGTTTTCAAGAAGGTATTAATGCAATGCTGATCACCCTCAGTGATTAACCTGAGAGGTTCATCAGGGACAAACATTTAAGGCTAACAAACACTACCATACCTAGAAACCACTGTTAACATTTCATACACTGCATACTATTTCTGATCCCTCCTCCTCCCCACCTGCTGTTCAACAGCTTTTATGTCCCTAAATATGTGGGAAGAGAACATGCTTCGTACAAGAGTGTAAGAAACAAGAAAGGCAGTTTATGCTTCAGGACTTCTTCCTTACACTTACCTACTCTTGTAGGAAATATATCCTCATTGTTGATTTGCACCTCGATCCAGTCCATGAGAAGATTCATATATTGGGGTGCTGGCAATGCTGTGGGCTTCTTGTACTTCAAGTCATCCTGCCACCGGTACTCATACTTGGGGCCTCCAGACATCACTGGGCAGGTCCTCTCCGTGCAGAACTCACAGATAGTTCCATAAATGAGGTTGATTCTATTGAAGAAGTCGACAACATGAACAGCCACCCAGTCATTCTGGTCTTCTCCACTGGGCAACTGCACAGCTGCTTTCAAGTCCACGCCTGAGTTGAGAGTTGCTTGCGCTCGTTTGTGAAGTTCAAACCTCTGGGTTCCAGGTTCAAATTTGCGTTTTGGGCGGAAAGTCTTATCCTTATTAAAGACTTGCTTGAGTGCTATGGACATGTCTGTTAATCTTCTGCACTGCAGTAGCTGGCAGGAAAGCACGTCTGAGATTTAATGCAAGTATCTGAAAACAGCTGCTCTCTATCACAGGCTCTCCAGGCCCCGCTCTTTTTCCCAGAGAAGCTTGTATCAACTTCAGAGAAATTTATTAGCTCTTCCTCTTGAAAGCCTCCCTGAAAGGCTTCATTTCCCTAGGGATACAGAAACAATACACATCAATGCCAAGTTCAAGTCTGGCCCCATCAGTTTGCTACTGTTTTACCAGAATTTTCCTGCAATTATAAGATGAAAAAATAACATGTAACATGCTAGCCTTAAAAACTGCCCAGCTCCTAACTACAAGATTTAATTTTCTTAAGAAGTGACTCATTTTTTTAAGTATTAAGGAATTAACTTCTCTGCTCTTTTTAAATATCTACCCAAATAAAGGCTCTTCAGTTATAAAAATGAGAATTCAATAAATCTTGTATGATCTTCAAATTTTAAAACCAACTTTTTCACTTTGCTACATTTTTACAGCCACTGCATAACATTCAAAACCTGCATATAAGTTCAGTAGAAAAAAAAACTATGTGACAATTTAGAATTTTTATCTAACTGCTCCTGGAGCTACCAACGGGGCCTCTAAGCATTAGCCATAGCTTTGGTGCCATTTCTGTGGCAAAAAGAAATCAGCAAGCAAAACTTATCCATATTTGTTCTCTGTTTTAAATTATTGAGGTGTTCACTTTTGCAAACCACATAGTACCAAATAAGAAGGATAACTATGGTATTGCACAGAAATAATTCCCGCTTCCCACAAAACTGTATGGAGATCGTTACTTTTATTGACCCACCTTCAGAAATTCAGTAGTGGACTTAGATTTCTATTGCATTGTGTAGAACTATTAGCAATTGTGAAGCCACCGCTTTCTTATAGCTCTATTAATCTCCTAGGGGAATACTTGGCATTGTTCTTACAAAAGCAAGAGCATAGAGTTTGTGTCGCTCCATCTAACCTAAGCTGGCAGTGTAATGGTTTCAACAGTGAGCCTGACTGAACAAATAAATTACTGCACTAGAGCTTTGTTTACTCTCATATATATACATTAAAAAGAGTATATTATCGCCAAATGTATACACTTAGGAGTGACAGGATAGATAGGTGCTGCTTCAATTAGACTTTTCTTTTAGTACTAAAGATTTTGTGAGTAATTATAGAGAATAAACATTTCATTCTGTGCAATATTTAAATTAAGTAACACAATATATTTCACACCTGCACAGCAATACAAAAATCCTCCACTATCAGTGGCCAGTTCTTTTGGGATTATCTGTGTTCCACTGTTTCCCTTAACTAAAATCATGTCTCTGAAAATTTTACTAGGCAGTGTGTGCCTAGCACTAAATTCTTCGGAAGACAGTTGCCTGAGGCTTGCTGAGCGGCAAAAAGGAAGATAAAAAGGTGTTGCTTTCTTCTTAATATCCACAAGAGCAAAGAAATTTAGTGTGCTAGACTCTGTGTCTACCCAATAGGATGTAAGGACCATAAAAATTCCTCTTCCAAATATGTGAAAGACTAGCATGCAAGCTAATTCGCTGGCAAGCAGCAGTCACATGGAATCAGCAGAGAAGTGCTTGCTTTAACTTTTCCTGATAGCATGATGGAGGGATATTCCAATCATGACCTTATAAACAGTATTTTTTCCCATATCTGCAAAATCCTAGAAGTTTTGGAATTAACTCCAGGGAGATTATTGTCATATCTGTCATGTCCCTCGAGTAATATTCAAAGACTGAGATCCTGAATATTCCAGTCCAGAAATTCTTTCCCTGACAAAGGCCAGAAGACTTCAAACAAAAGTAGCCTTGGAACAGTTAAGTGTCATTGGCAGGAAATGAAGGTACTTTTAAATAGTCAACTTTGCCCCACAATTTGTTGTTTGTTACTAAGACCAAAACTTCCAGCCTCAAATACTCTGTGGCAGCCATCCATTTATTTAAAAGCCCTTAAAAACATAGGTGAGTAGTGCTGCATAGGCTGAGCCTGTGACTGACACACTTGAAGATGGCATGGAGCCAATGTCCCAGTTTGCAATAATAAGCAGGTTAAGTCCAGAACTTTACAGCTCAGGTAATTACTTTCTTCCCCACATTAATACACCTGGTGCTCTTATGTGGTTTGACTCCCTTCATCACCTGCAAATATTCATCAGAATAGGCAAGGTGTTTTATTTAAAACAACAAGCTGAGCAGCAAATAAAACTCATCTTCAAAAGAGACACTTTGAAGCACAGTACTCACTGCAATTAAAGCTTCTTTAAGAAAAACAGAACACACAGTATTTTATAAGCTATTTTCTACTAATTATGCAAACAAACTGAATCACATTAAATAATGTTTCCCACTCCTCTCCATATATTCAGGAAATCTGCATAAAATTAATTAATTCAGAGAAAAGTCAATCAAAACATTCAGCAAACAACTCATTATCTCAAGTCTTATGTTGATGTTGAAGGTCTCTGTGGAAGCACACACACATTCTGGTCAAATTCACCTCTAAGACTCATCCAAAGAATTAGTCTACTGTGCAGCCAGATGAAACTGTTCTTTAACTCAACAGGGCAGAATCAGAACAAACAAGAACTTCCTATACATTTTGTGTCTGGAGAATCTTCTGTTCAATATCCTGCAATAAAAGCCAAGGATGTTCCTCTTTCATCTTTCTGTAACTTTACAAAATACAAAAATACAAAGCTGGTTTGTAGCTCACTGCTTAACTCCTCTTAAGAGATACAGCGCTGCTAAGAGCTTATTTTTTCCTCTTTCTCTGTATGGAAATGTGACTGAAGTCTGTGCCATGCTAGGGGACAAACAGACTTGCTTTCTCACGTATTCTCACATTCAAGAATGCAAAATAGAAAACTGTAAGACCTGACCTTCACAAAAATACTGCAGTGAATCAACCCTATGAAATATTCCTTTTGCATCCTGGTTCTTGATGGTATTTGCTACCTAATTAACCACTGTCTTTATTCAAAAGCTAATAGAAATGAACAAAGAAATAAGAATTTAGGTTTTTATAAACATTTACAAACAACATAACCACTACTTCCTTGGAATAAAGAAGCTTTTCCTTTACTGACAGGAGACAAAGGAACAGGCTCACCTTATTTTCAGTAGAGATCAAGCACAGACATTTTAGTTTTGAATCCTTCAGAAGGTGATGCTAATGGGAGAACTCTAGCCAAAGCCCTTGTGCTCTAAGACCATCTTTTCCGCTTAGGCAATAAAATGATAGGTGTTAAGGATAGGATGGCCAATCCTTTGCTAAGGCCTGATTTATTAATCTGTTGCAGGAACTCAATTGCCTTTAGACTTTCAGCACTCCCTGTACTGCACTTGAATTAACAATCATGACAAGAAGTTTTTCATTTCATCCCAAACCACATACTGTCAATTAAAACTTTGTATAGGGGAACTTAAAAAGCAAAGCTATTGCTTCAAAATTGCATAACATCAGCAAAAATGAAAACTCATCAGACAGCTTCAACAACAAATTACAAACAAAATCTCACCATTTTTAAAGGACTGAGAATGTAACTTGCCTTGCCAGTCATCACATTAACTTCTATGACAATGAAAATGCTAGAATGAAAAATGCTTCCAGTTTCATGAGCTCAACTGGTCTTGGGAGAGCTGTTTCAAAGCTGAAACACTGTGGACAATGTAATATGGGTCAGACTGAATCACACTGAATTCCACAAAAAACTAAATTTGTCTCTTGATAAGAGATACTTCGCAGTTTACTGTTATAGTAACGCCAACAGAATTGCTCCTGGTTTATACTTGTGTCAGAAGTGACAGAAACTGGCTTCTAGTCTTTTATGACAGGTTCTAACTATACATAAAAGCATAAAGAATAACATTATAATTCATGGTGTTTGGCTTAATATACTGAGTACAGTATTATATATTTGGCTTAATATACTGAGTATATATTATATATTTGGCTTATTATACTGAGACAGTGTCCTGCACATCCCTCTGAACTAAATGACTGTCCTAGTATGGGCAGCTCAGAGAGGTAATTTCTCCCAATGATTTAATTTCTCTTTTTTTTCAGAGCAATGTATTTCAGGGACAGTCACCATCATCTTTTCCTGGTGGACTATTCCAAAGCATGTATAATGCAGCTGGGTGAATTCCCTTGCTGGCAGAGCTATGCCTGAGAATGGTAAACACAGATGTGGAGGTGGTCTCAGGACAATCAGACCTCATAAGCTTCATCCACAGCATCAGCAGCACAGTGACCTGACAAATCTGTCCTCCAGTTCATGCACAGACAGAGACAGAACCTTGGCCTAAAATCACGTGCACCAACATCTGGAAATTATAAAACAGTCCTACCCATGCAGATACCATTAAAAATAACACCCACAACAAACAACACATCATGACCAGCATCATATCAGAGTCACTGCTGTGTTAAAAGCATACTATATACTTCCTCCATATATTTTCTATTAAATCACAGGGAACAAGAATGTTAAATGACACACTGTTTCTATACACATACCTTTCATCATGATATTCTAGGGAGTGTTACACAAGCTTTAGAGGTCTGCTGGGTAGGTAGCTGATATAAATCATGTTTTATTAAACCAGACAGTGAGGAAACATTATTTCTCCAACAAAAAATACACACAGAGATGACTATCCAGCGATGCACAATATGAAAACCAACTCTGCATCAGTTCACTTCTACATTTTTTAAATTTTTCTTTTTAAAGTCTAAGTCACCATTCCTCATTCTTTCAGGAGTGATACTGGTTTAGTGGCAATTTCCTTTCCCCTAAAGCTGCTGGGATTACTTTATGCTAGTAACCATAATAATGACCTGCAGACTCAAGACACTCAGGTGAATTATAAAGAAGCCTTCTCACAGTCAGAAACACTTCTAACATATAACAGCATCCATTCATTTGATATGCAATGACTACATTTTGCTTTGTCTGGGCACGGGAAATAAAAAAGGAGCAAGTGATTTTGCAAGACTAACAAAAAACCAGAATTGTAAACAATCACAGGAATCAGCATAGTGTTTCCATAATCAAAGTATTAAGGCCCAATGGAGCAAATATAAATAACCTTTGATACCCTTCTAACGTAAAAGGCTGGAAAGGGAAAGCAAGATACAATGGATAGCTGT